TGGGTTATGCATTGGGCTGCTAGCCACAAGGTCAGCAGTTCAAATCCATTGCTGCCACCCCACATGAGAATGGCTTTCTACTCCTTTAGAAATCCACAGCCTTGGAAACTACATAGTGTCACTATGAGTTGAAATCACCTTAATAGTAGTGGGTTTGGGCTTTGGAACTTCTCATAGAAGCCTTGGTGATACTGTAGAATACGCACACAAGGTCAGTAGTTTAAACCCACCAGCTGCTCCACAGAAGAACGATGAGGCTTTCTGCTTCCATAAAGATTTACAGTCTCGGAAACCCTGTATAGGGTCTCTCTGAGTCAGGACCAACTTGACAGCACGCTACCACCACCATATATATAGAGTGTGTGTTTTCTTTTGCATTTTTCTTGATAGAGTCATCAGCTCCAAAAGGACTTATACCCACTGCCTTGGCCTCCTAGCCTGGTATTTGAGGCCCAGGTGGCTGCTACTTACCTCAGCAGTTTTCTGTTTCTCTGCTACAAACTGTCACCCAGTTGGAACTGCTTGACTATCTCTGACTATACCCTGCTATTCTTGCCTGCGTCTGAATTTTATCCTGAACCTTGACTGGTGTGCTTTTCCTCTTGTTGTCTTAACCTTTTCCCGTTATCCAAGGCATAGTTCATGTCTTTTCCCTGAGAAACGGGGTCTTTGGTTGGTGTCAGCCCATCCTGATTTCACATTCCCTGTTTGTCTAGCCCTTCTGATCTAAAAACCAGAGAAGTAATCTCATCTGAGCAAGATGTCAGTCATGGTTATAAACTACTCCAGTCTCTGTGACTCTCCACTGCACCATATGGCCTGCTAACTTAGAACGGAGGTTTTGTGCTAAAAGCAACTTTTGTGTCTCAGAAAATTCATCCCCAGAATTCTAAGCCTTGGCTATAGAAAAAGAAAATTTAACAGTGTATGTGGTAAGAACCCCAGTTCCTTCACCATAAGAAATCTTCCTACCTAGAGTTGAGAGATGAGGGTTTTCCAATCTTGTTTCAACACTCTTTTCAATCACTCCAGACTTCTTCCAGGGCCTCAGATACCCCTATGCCTTTTTCACCTCTAGGTGAAGAGACTTTACCTCTGCTTGCAACACTCTTTCCCTTTCCTTGCCCCTTTTCATCATCCTTGGCTCATTCCCCTTTATCATAACATTCTCAGGGAGTAGGTTCCCTTGTTGTGCACTTCTGGTGCCCATTCATAGCACTCATCAGATGCATAATTGTGTGGTTGGTAGTCTGTCTCCCCACTGCCTCTGCACTGTAAAAGGCATGTAGACACCATGACTGAATAAATGAAGAAATACATGATGTGTCTCAGCATCCTCCCAAGTCTTAGTTACCCACTTATTTCAACAGCACAGAGATTTCATTTGACTTGGGTCAATGGAACGTTTACCACAGATTGTGGCAGAAGAATGGTGCAGGGACACAAATACAAGTGTCCAGACTCTGCCCAGTGCCCACTCTGCCAGAGACTAATGAAAAGCAGACAATTTCTCAGTCACAAACAGTTACCCAACAGTGCCCCAAAATACCCAAACCCCTGTCCTCATAAGCAGATCTTCCCTTGGTAAACCACTCAACTTTTGATCTCTCCCTTTCAGGCCTCTTACAGCACTTACGGAGTTCGGTTGTAGCACTGTAGGATACGCACTGGACTGCTAACGACAAGATAAGCAGTTCAAACCCACCAGCTGCTCCTTGGAAATCCTATACAAACAGGGTCACTATGAGTCAGAACTGACTCAACGGCACTTAGCAACAACATCAACAATACAGCACTTATGGTCAGAAACTACACATTATTGTAGCCTAGATTTCATGCTGTTCTGTATTGTCCCTCATTACTTCATGTCTGAGATCTAAATTGTGTATTTCCCCAAGTCACAGCCCATGTCTTCTTTCCTTAACCACTAACGGTATCTAGCATGTGACCAAGCACATATCATACTGATTTACGGAAATAAACTTAGTTTTTTATGTTACACGGAATCAGGTTTTATCTAGAGGAAGGATGGAGAAATGAGAGAGATTCAGGTTTTGGAGTCATTATTGACCTGGTTCCAATCACTATGTTGTTGTTGTTGTGTGCCGTGGAGTTGGTTCCGACTCATAGCGACCCTGTACAGGGTTTCCAAGGCTGTAAATCTCTACAGGAGTAGAAAGCCTCATCTTTCTCCCGCGGAACAGCTGGTAGTTTCAAACTGCTGACCCAATCACTATACTGCCCCTTAACTAGCTGTATGACCTTAACAAAGTCATATCTGTGCCTTTTTACCACATCCATGTAAAGAAGAGATTATTATCAGCTCCTAAAAGTTGTGTGCAGAGTAAATGAGATCAAATAGGTTAAGTGCCTAGGGCAGTCTGGTCTATAATAGGTACTTAGTAAGTGTTGAGTTCTGTTCCTCTCCTTCCATTTATCTGCTGCCTCATTGCAGGGTACGTTCCCAGGACACAGAATTCAGACTTCGACTGCTATACTTTAAGCCTTATGTTTGTTCATTTATTCAACAAACAATTATTGAGCTCCTATTATGTGCCTACAGCCACCCATATTCCCAGGCGGTCTTCCATCCAAGTACTAACCAGGCCTGACCCTGCTTAGCTTCCAAGATCAGATGAGATCAGGTGCATTCAGGGTGGTATGGCCGTAGAGTCCTGGTGTGGCACTGTGGGTTAATGCTCCAGATTGCAAAGCCATTTGAACTGCAAGGTTGGTGGTTCAAGCTCACCAGCTGCTCCTCGGAAACCCTATACAAGGTTGCTATGGGTCGGAACCGACTCGACAGCACTTAGCAACAACAACAACATTATGTGCCAGGCATTGGCATATAGATTTAAATAGAGTCATGGATTTTCCGAGGAGCCTAATAGAGGATTTCAAGCTACATTCAGACAAGAATGTGCAACGAATGATATCACTGCTGATGTCAGATGGATCTTGGCTGAAAGCAGAGAATACTAGAAAGATGTTTACCTGTGTTTTGTTGACTATGAAAAGTTTTCAACTGTATAGATCATGACAAGCTGTGGACAACAGTGCAGAGAATGAATATTCCAGAACACTTAATTGTGTTCATGAGTAACCTGTACATAAACCAGACCAGAACAGGGACATTGAATGGTTTAAAATCAGGAAAGGTGTGCCAGGTTTATATTCTTTCACCATACTTATTTAATCTGTAAGAAGAGCAAATAACCTGAGAAGCTGGATTATATTAACGTGGCATCAGGATTGGAGGAAAACTCATTAACAACCTGCAATATGCAGATGATACAACCTTGCTTGCTGAAAGAGAAGAGACTTAAAATACTTACTGATGAAGATCAAAGACCACAGCCTTAAACATGGGTTGCACCTCAGTGTAAAGAAAACAAAAATTCTCACAACTGAACCAATCAATAACATCATGATAAATGGAGAACAGATTGAGGTTGTCAAAGACTTCCTTTTGCTTGGACCCACCATCATTACTCATGGAAACAGCCATCACGAAATCAAATGACATATTTCACTAGGCAAATCTGCTGCGCAAGACCTCTTTAAAGTGCTCAAGAGCAAAGATGTCAGTTTGAGGACTAAAATGCACCTGACCCAAGCCATGGCATTTCCAATATCCTTGTATGCATGTGAAAGCTGGACAGTGAATAAGGAAGACTATAGAAGAATTGATGCATTTGAGTTATGGTATTGGAGAGAAATATTTAAGGTACCATGGACTGCAGAAGAACAAACAAATTTGTGTTGGAATAAGTACAACCAGAATGCTCCTTTAAAGCCAAGATGGCCAGACTTCGTCTCTTGTACTTTGGACATATTGTCAGGAGGAACCAGTCCCTGGAGAAGGACATCATGCTTGGTAAAGTGGAGGGTCAGTGAAAAAGAGGGAGATGGATAAACACAATGGCAGCTCAGCAGTTGTGAGGATGGCACAGGCTGGATGGTTTTTGGTTCTGTTGTACATAGGGTCACTATGGGTTGGAACTGACTTGCTGGAACCTAACAACAAAAACATTCTTTACATCTTTCCTTGAGTTAAAGGATTTCTAGTTTCCAAGCCATCAAAATACAGATAAACTTGGTGACTATGATTTATTTGTAAATTGGGAACTACCCTGATAAGAGATATTAGGTGTTCTGAGTCCTGGTGTGGTGCTGTGGGTTAATGCGTCAGACTGCAAAGCCGTTTGAACTGCAAGGTCGGAAGTTCAAGCTCATCAGCTGCTCCTCAGAAACCCTATACAGGGTTGCTATGGGTTGGAACCGACTTGATGGCACTTCACAACAACATACTAACCAGAGGATTTGATGAGTAAGGAATCTTTCTTAGCAGACAGTCCACAAGCTGGGACTGTATCACATAAGAGAAGGACTAGAATAAGCAAAGATGCAGAGAGAGCATTCTAGACCAAGAGAGTGTTGAATATCAGAGTATTAAGCTGCTCCTCGAAACCCTATACAGGGTTGCTATGGGTCGGAACCCACTCAACAGCACTTTACAGCAACAAGGTAGGGAAGATCATTCTTTTCTCAGAAGGGTGGGAGAACATCAGAGGCCGACTCGTTTAAAGAAGGAATGAGGTGGGAAGACCCTTGGGTCCTACAAAAGTGGCCAGAGAGCTGGGATGGGGGATTTAGTTCTCAAAGGCCTTTACTACTTCCAGACTCATCCAGCCTCCCTGGTTAGTGACTGTCATTTCTTCTGTGGTTCTTTCTGCTTTTTACATGGTCAACCCATAACCAAAGACCAGACCCATTGCCATTGAGTCATTTTCAACTCATGGTGACCCTATAAGACAGAATAGGACGGCCCCCAGGGAGTTTCTAAGTCTGTAGTCTTTACAGAGGCAGATTGCTACATCTTTCTCTCACTAAGTGTTTGAGGGGTTCAAACCATTTTGATTAGCAGCCAATCACTTAACCACTGTGCTAGGTCTCCTTTTATGGTGAGCCACGCACTGAAAATATTTCTTTCTTTTTAGGCTGTTGTCAGAAGGTGCAGATGTCAATGCAAGGCACAAACTTGGTTGGACGGCTCTCATGGTGGCAGCCATCAGCCGAAATGACAGGTAAGCAATTGTTTTCCACTAAGGGCTCCCTTAGTCAGATATCCACATGAACCCTCTCCTGCCTTTGTATGCCCACCCCTGCCCTTTGGTGTCTTTATCAGAGACAGGGAAATGAACTCAACCTAATGTACTAGATTATACCTGGTACTCTGGTAGCGTAGTGGTTACGAATCGGGCTGCAAACCTTAAGGTCAGCAGTTCGAAACTACCAGCTGTTCCACGGGAGAATGATGAGGCTTTCTGCTCCCGTAAAGATGTACAGCCTCAGAAACCCTGTGCAGGGTTGCTATGAGTCGGAACTGACTCCACAGCACATAACAACAACATCAACAACAACAATGGAATGTATAGATGTGGAGAGGAAAAGATTGTCCTTGGATACTAACTCTATCACTCATTGACTTTGTGACTTTAGGCAAGTCTTGCATTATTGTGGCAACTGTGTGTTTGAGAGCCTGTTGTAAATGATGAAGTGTGCATGGTGAATTGTCATCATCATTTTTGTTATCTACCAACTATCCTGGTGTGACGCTGTAGGATAAGCTCTGGACTGCCAGCTGCAAGGTCAGCAGTTCAGACCCACCAGCCTCTCTTGGAAACCCTATACAAGGTCTCTATGAGTCGGAACTTATTTGATGGCAACAACTACCATCCATCCATGTTGAGCAATCTGCAGTCACTGCCCTTAGTGACACTGGCAGTGTCTGTGAAGCTTCTGCCAATGGAAACAGGACGATAGAGGAAACCAGAGGTGTTCTAGCTGTGATTGTACAAAAAAAAAAAAAAAATTGATTAAATAATTGATTCTTTCTCCTATTTAACGAAGCAAACTTTGGAAACTTATAATAGCCAGCCACTGAAATTAATAGTTGGAGACAATAATTTTAATCATCTCTTCAAGCAGATCTCTTTATCTGCCAGTAATAGCCACCTTTGGAAATGTCATATATGTGATGGATATCAAAGAAACTTGGATTTTATAATACAGTGGGACTGTCTGCCTCAGACTGATTGAGACGCTTGGGTGAACTTGAGATGCGTCTCTTGCAGATAGCATATTGAAGGATCTTGTTTTCTTATCCATTCTGCCACCCTCCGTCTCTTAACAGGTGCATTCAATCCATTTACGTTCATAGTGATTATCGATAG